TCCTCTCTCTACGCGCGTGGTAAATTGTCTCCCGTTTTACCGTTGTTGCTTTTTCTTTATTTTATGTCAACTGACGGTCCCGGCTAAGGACCACAGAGTGGTACCTATATCTAACAGTGTGTGTCTAACAACAACGGGCTTTATTTGCATGACCATACAAACACATACAGTATTGCAAAAACTATGTCAGGTTTAGGAATCAAAATTACAACACAGGGCAATAACGTTACATTGATAATAATTTGTCACGAACATCAAAACAAGCTGAAACATATTTTATGAATTGTATATTGATAAAGTAATCAGAAGAGTTCACCAGTTCATTGATCAAACCGTTCCTAGGTAACTGGGTAATATTTGGAATCAGAGTCTTAACTTTATAGTAAAATTTATTCCTAATCATAGAGTATGCAGGACATTGAAAAAGAAAGTGAACTTCGTCTTCTATTACATTGCATCTACAAAAAGGGCAATGCCTATTATCCTTCGTAGCTTGATTGTATCTGCCTATTTCTATCATTAGTTTGTGATTGCTTATTCGCAGTTTTACTTAAGCCCTTCTCCCAGCTGTTCCTCTTGTTAAGTCTAAGTAACTAGATGAGGTATGATCGTTTTTAAAAGATCTATAAAATTCAAGTTTTTGAGAATGTTGAAGGGTGTTTTGACAATATGAGATATATTCCTGTTTCATTGAACTTACATGGCTTTTTACCATAGCTATATCTAATAAATCAGTGTTAAAGTCAGGAAGCTTAAAGTATTCTGACATATTCATTAAATGAGAGTGGAAGCTATTTTTGCAATTACAGTGTAAGCCGAATGACATTAAAAAAACCTTGTTTGACGAGAGATTCCTCATCTTTAGACTGTATATACAAAATGTGTTTGAGAATTTTTTGATTGATTGTGATATTTAAAGGAAAACGACCAAGCTCTGCTCTACAAGCTATATGAGAAGCTTTGTTGTTTACCTCCAAGTATCGTTTACAAAATTGAAGGTGTGCCTTCTCGATTTGTGAGCCGTCCCAGGTCTTAAAATCTGGTTTGGCATACACCCCTCAAATTTCACTGTTGTATGTAAGAATAGGGGAGGTCATAGTATCAAATATTTTACAGGCGAGAGCTGCTTTTAGTTTGCTAAGATTCGTGAGTCGAATCAAGCTGAAGAGGGCACGAAGAGTTTTCTCCTTGAGATGTTCACGTGACACTGAAAAATTTCCCGATGAGGACATTCGAGTTCCTAAGTAAGTGTACTCTTGAACAACATCAATTATTTGACTATCTATGAGAAAGTGAAAATCAGCATTTTTTCTCGAAAAACCATACTTTTTATTTTCTTGGGCATGATTTTCATCATCCATGAAGTACAGAATGAAGATAGTTTATCGAGGCAATTTTGTAGTCCTGTTTTGGATCGAAATAAAATGATTAAATCGTCTGCATATAATAGAATTTAATTTTGCACCGTTTGGCAAAACAAAAGGATCAGATAATGTATTTTCAAATGCGAAAGGTAGGTCGTTAATATAAAGATTAAAAAGCAGTGGACTTGAGATACAGCCTTGCCGCACACTTCTCGCATAACGGAATGATCGCGTTTGTTTTTGGGCAATTTTAATTGAGCAGGAAGAGTTGTGATATAAGCTTTTAATTAAGTTATAAAAGAACCACCAACATCAATTTGCAGCAGCCTATTCAAGAGCCCGTTATGCCAGACCGAGTCAAAAGCTTTTTTGAAATCTACAAAACAAGCATAGATCTTTTCGTTGTGATTATGAACGTACTTATAATTATCTATCAAGGTTCGGAGAGTTAAGACGTGGTCTGCTGTGCGGTTATTTGGTAAAAAGCCAATTTGAGATTTGTGGAGTATGTTCAAAGAAACGATATACTCGAGAAGTCGTTGGTTAAAGATAGGACAAATAGTTTTCCTAGGCAGCTGGAGACACAGATACCCCGGTAGTTTGCCGGATCGCTTCGTCCGCCCGATTTATAAATGGCATTAATAAGACCACCACACCAAGTTTGTGGCATGGTCCCTTGGCAGAGGCGGATCTAGGGGGAGGGTGCAGGGGGTGCGCACCCCCCCCCCCCCCCGG